TTTTTTACTGGTCTCGACAACTCTAGACCTTCAAATATAATATAGTTCTCCAAATTCATCTTTGCAAGGAGAATATTTATGTCAGATATCGTTCACTGTTCTGTTTTGACATTTCTATTATTCTAGTCTCAATTATGAAATAATACATCACTCTTTGTCGCAGGGTGACCATGTGGCTCTTTTGTCTGCCATGTCAGAAATGGGCCTCAAGTTGCGCCTAGATATGCCTGAGCAGGTTATGGAGATAACAAATGTATTCTTCCGTAGTTCTACACCAGCAAATGAAGCTCAGGTAAGTATCCACTACTTGCCTTTGAAATTGTTTGTCAACTTCTTCAAGTTCATCTCATGCTAAATCTTTTTGCATGAAGCAAAATTTGAAATCCTTGAACGAGCAAAGAGAAAAAAACATGAAGGCTATGCAGGAAAAGATGCAGCTCAACCCTAAAGAAGTGAAACGCTTCAACCCGGTAAGTTTATTTCTTCCTTTTCTTTCGGTGCTAGTGCTGTAAGTCCATTACATCTAGTACTATTATTCCTTTGGCATTTTCATTAATTATTTAATCCATCATTAACTAACTATGTTTTATTTTTAGGTTGATGCGTTTCCGGGTGATATTGTAATCTTTGCACGGGTTTTAAATCTTCTGAGAGGTCTGTAAACTAAATTCCTACATTCATGATTCACCTTGTATTAAATGATTGTGCACTTTGATAATTTATCGCTTATTTTACTTAAATTCAGGGCTCTCATCCACTATGAATGTCCGGATAGTATATTTAGACATGATGAGACCATTTGCTGAATCTGTTCTTCAAGGGTGAGTCTATCTTAAAATTTATAAGGTCAAGTTTTATGAAAAAAAAATCTCATATTGAGTGTGATTACATTGTCAGAAACATTAATAGAGGACCATCGACAAATGTACAGTGGATCTACAACACACCGGTACATTCTGATGTAGAAGCCAAGCTGAGACAACTCTTAGTTGAGTTGGGAAATAATGATAAAATACTTGGGATCCAGGTCTGCACCACTATCTGTTATTAGACTATGGTTTGATGACATGACAATCTTTGTTTTTCGTTTTCTTAATATTTTAGATGGCTTCCTTTATCGGACCATTGCTGTAATTAATAATCAAGCGTGATGTCTGGCCTATCATTATATGCCTTCACTTCACTAACGTGTCTGAGGAGCTTCACTCTTCTTTTCCACTCTTTCTCCTTATGTAGTGATTTTTTCAGTCCAGTCCTTTGTGTCTTGAAATAGCTTCAATAATTGAGACTGTTTATAGGCATTTGCAATCCCCTAGTACTTCAATTTCATGCAGTGTAGTCGGACCATTTAAACCTTCATAAGTATATTTATAGGACTTGAACGTGCTGTATTCTTTGGTCCCAAAATATGTTGATATATCTAGTGTATAGGTTTAACCCCACTGCAATGTGAGTATTTTTCTTGGAAAGCATTTGGGATTAAGTTGTTTTCTTAATGTATTTATGCTATTTTTGCTAACATCAACGTGAGATTAAATATGTTTATAATTTTTTGAAAGAATATAATAAAATGAATTTCAATTCACAAATTCTGATAGGCATTTAATAAATCCATGACTTTGCAATAATCATGAAGATCATTTTTACACTGCTTTATCGTGAATTTATACTAAATTTGAAATCCAAATTCCTTCTTTTAAATCCTAGTTACCAAATGCAATCTTAGAATCTATTAGAATTTCTTCTTGGATGGACATTATAGATTTGATAAAAGAAAGAAATAAGGGCAATTTTTGTGTAGTATACCTTGCAATAGTGGACATCATACTTGTTGTTTCATTATAAAATTAGGAATGATTTTGGTATTTTAACTGCTAATCTACAATCATATTGGTCAGGCTTTAGTTTAAAAGCATATGATCTTCTGCTGATTCTTATAATATTTTCAATTTCTATCTCAAGGTATGTGCATACAAAGACGGGGAGGTTATTATTGATACTGCTGCTGGAGTGCTTGGAAGATATGATCCTCGCCCAGTTCAGCCTGATACACTTTTTTCTGTGTTTTCTGCGACAAAGGGTATAGCTGCAGGAATGTTACACTGGCTGGTAGACAACGGGTAAAGTTTAATGTTAAAAATGTCTTTAGATGCACTATCCTGTAAAATCCAGAAATTAGAATGCCTGCAAAAAATTCATATGTGGGAATAAGTGGTTTAAATTGCAAACATGCAACTTTTTCCAGAGAAGATATCTTTGAAAATAATCAAGTTATGGAATTCTTTTATAGTCTCTAACAAATGGCACCTTGTCTTGCAGAAAACTCAAACTTGAAGAAAATGTTGCAAATATTTGGCCAGAATTCAGAAGAAATGGAAAGGAGCACATAAAGGTTATAATTCTGTGCATAAAAGCCTATTATTTTGGATAAACATTATTTGGACATTATTTGGAAATTGGAATGTGTATTTCAATATACACTAATTCCTTGAGTTTTTCCTGTCAGGTTCATCATATACTAAACCATACATCTGGTTTGCATAATGCATTGGCTAACCTTAGAGCAGAAAATCCTTTGCTGATGACTGAGTGGGATGAATGTTTGAAACGGATGGAAACATCAGTACCTGAGACTGAACCAGGGAAGCAGCAGTTGTATCATTATCTTTCTTTTGGCTGGCTATGTGGTGGAATAATCGAGGTATTTTCTCATGCTCACTCATTCAATTATGTCACTGTACCTCAATGCATTTGAGATGTGACAAAAAAGAAAGTAAAAGGTACTAATAGTAAAATTTGAGACACAAGTGAAAATTACCTTCCCTTTCCTATATGCTTGGTTGAACATTAAGATTTTAACCATATCCCTAGAATGAGTATTTCATTTAATTCCATTATGATACCTATTTGGGAAGTACCCTTTTCTTTCATCTCCAATATTGCTAACACAATATTACCCTAATAAAACCTGAGAAAAAGTTGAACATACCCATATTCGCCATTCACACCATAGTCCGAGTAAAATAAGAGATTATAGAACTAATGGAGTTGGTAGTCATGAGGGTTCATTATTCACACCTAAGCTTTCAATCAAGTCGAATCATTGTATTGTTCGAATTCCAATGAAGATATCCTGAAATTCTTATTCCTTCCCTTGGAGGAAAGCTCAAAACTTTTGATAAATATTTTTCCCGTGAAGTTTGACTAGCTTGGAGATGTTAATTTTGATAGGAGGTGTGTTTTCTCACAACTCTCTTTGTTGAATTTGTTTTAGGACGTTTGTTTTCTTTGATATCTTTTTCTCACCTAGCTATTAAAAAACGTCTTTTCCAGTAACACATTTCATGCTTCCTACTTGATTACTCGTTCTTATCATTATGACATTTTTCTTCCTAACATTCTGATTGACTTCAAATTGTAGGCTAGCTAACTCACTCATATAACCTGGTTTTAATTTATTTGCTTGGGTGAAACAGCATGCATCCGGGAAGAAATTCCAGGAGATTCTTGAAGAGGCTTTCATTCATCCTCTCAAAATTGAAGGCGAGCTATATGTTGGAATTCCTCCTGGTAATTTAATCTCCTGTCTTTGTATTCTTGATTCATTATGTAGAAATGGCTCTATATTTATGGCTTGTGCAGGTCCTCTTCATCTTTCTCAAATTAGTATTTGATGCCTTCTTTATGTGCTAACATCCAGGTGTGGAATCTCGACTTGCTACACTGATGCTAGATACGGATGATTTGAAGCAGCTCTCCGAAATGCAGAATCGACCTGAGCTGCCATCGACTTTCCAACTGAACAACATTGGTGAATTTGCAGAATTCTTGCCTGCTTTATTTAATATGCTCAATATCCGTCGTGCTATCATACCTGCTGCTAATGGACATTGCTCAGCCCGTGCACTTGCGCGCTATTATGCAGCCTTGGCTGATGGTGGTATGGTACCACCACCACATTCCTCTGTTTCGAATCCACCACTCGGAAGCCATCCCCATGTCCCCAAATTTCCTTCGAAAAAGATCAATGAAAAGCAAAAGGTTAAGGTAGATGAAAGTAATGATAGTAAGCAAAGAAGTTATGCCAGGATTGAGGAGGATAATGATGACCAAGACGATGTAGAGAAGTATAGCAAAGTAGCAGGGGTACAAGAGAGGGCATTGCAGATAGAGAGAGGGGGGTAGGTTCTGAAAGCAAGAAGAGCAAGATATTTTCAAACCCTAGGGCTCATGAGGCATTCATGGGAGTAGGGGAATATGGGAATTTGTGTTTCGGAGATGGGGCATTTGGACTAGGATTTAGGAGGTTTAAATCCAAAGATGGGGATGGGTCATATACCGGGTTTGGGCACTCAGGAATGGGGGGATCGACAGGTTTTTGTGATGTAAGGAACCGGTTTGCTATGGCTGTGACCGTGAACAAAATGTCATTTGGGGGCGTCACTTCAAAGATAATAGAGCTAGTTTGTTCGGAGCTGAATGTGCCGGTGCCCGAGGGGTTATCAGGCGCTCGTGATGTTAGCAGACCACTGATTAATTAATTTTAATTGTGCTACTACCCTGTTTTCTGGTTTCTTCTTTTTTATCACTAACTTTTATATCCACACGCATCAACCTGTAATATTTGTATAAGGATTTATTTATAAATTAAAACAGGAAATGGATGGACAATAGTATGTAATTTTTGTATTTCTTACATTACACATACTAAAAATGAAAGTTTTGTGTTCCAAGTAATTTAACCTAATGTGCAAGTGCAGCTACTGGGGTGGCACAAACTGAATGTTGTTGCCGCGATGACAGTCGTCTATGGTGCTTCTGATGTTGTGTGCTTAGGAATCATAATGGCTGTTGGTGAGCCATGACCAAGTTATCGCAAAGGGAATGGCATGTGTGAATTCTAAACATGTGATGTTAAATTTTAGGAGACGAAAAAAGATAATCAATAGAAAATATAAAGAAAATATCTAAATTATATAAGAATTTGCAAAGGGAATGTCGTCAGTCCCCCTCGATCCATCCCTGTTTGCAATCAAAATGAACATCATGATGGTGATACAATTACCGTATAAATCGTTAGCAATGCCATACATGCTGCGATTTTATTCAGTCTAGGCAAATAGCAAAACAAACTGCTAACCAACATCAATCATCGACAATCGACTGCCCTATTTTGTTAAGAAATTATGTAATATCGTTTCCACAATTTTCAGCCACTCTTGGCTTTGCATCAGGCAGCTCTAGTTCTTCCATAAATCCCATGGTCATCTTGGTAAAGCTTTCCTTGTGCAATTGTTTCCATTCCTGTTTAACGCATACAAATATACAATAAAAAACAATGAATCCAGTGCACAATACAGACACACACACAGTTTTAGATCCCATGTTCCTCATCATGATAATATTTCTTCACTCAATTTCAGTCTCTACTATTCAGCTCTTGTTACTTGTCCTTTTAAGGCAATTGCTACACTGGAGTATTTTTCATTTAATTTTTCCAAAGAATTTTACAGTTTTCTGCAGTAACATCAAGATGGGTCATCTTATCAATGAAACGCTATCCCTTGAAAAGTTATAAAACTGACATGATAAAACAAAAATCCCAAATAGATTGGATCTGGTTAGGTAATGTTATCATATATGAATGACAGGAAATGAGTGCTGACTTGCGCAAAAGTAAAAATGCTGGTGTTTTAGGGAAGAAACAGGTGCTCAAAGAAGTACCAAGCAGTATGAATAAAACAATTCCAAAAACAAAGTAAGCATGATGCAATTTGAGAAATGTAAAGTTAACCCTTTTAGTTAATTAACATAGCAGAACGGAAGGAACAGAGAAGGATTATGGACCTTTTTGTATTATTTCACTTTTTTGTTTCTAAATTTATTGTTGGCCAGACCGTATAGAATTTGAATCATTTGAAATCACAAATCCCACGGCACCCATCTGTGGAGTCGAAATTGCAGCCAAAAAGAAAATTGAAAATACCTCAAAATCCCATTCTCCGTACAAGTTGGGATCACTCGTGTTGCTCCAGACATAGGCGTGAGCTTGTAATTTATCAGAGTTTTCCTGCATAATGGAATAACAGAGCATATAACTTCTAATCATAACATAAGTATTACTAATTTCGATGAACAGTGTGTTTGATTTGGTAATATATTTTAACATCTTGAAGAATCAATTTTCAATACAAGCCAAGCCAAGCCAAAAGGAAGGTGAACAACAGAAAATTAGAAGCGATTGAGATAGACTGGGTTAGACTCACTAAACTAGTATGCTAATATAATGAATAGTAGACGGGATTAGGACTTCATTTACCTGCAAAGAGACCTCAACGCTAGTTCTTTGGTACTCAACATCCTCAAATTCATCCAAAATAAGCAATTCAGGATCCGTTAATCCCAACAATACCTGCTAGACCACCGATGAAGTTAGAAAGACACAAGGGTAGAGTATATAATATGAATGAGTATAAGGATGACGGGACACCCTTCCGGTAACATGGCTGTTTTGGACAGGGACAATCGCCGGATAAACACGCCCTTTAATGCTAAATCTGTGGCTGCACAAATTGAGAATTGGAAGTAAAATTAAAAGAAAAGGCAGCAGCCGTAGATTATTGGATTTCGTGTGGATGAAGCAGATGAGACGAGAATATGTATAATTACAAGTTATTCAGAACAGCAACGGAGGAAGGGGGGACTCGGTTCAAGAGGACACGGACAACATCATCTGCTAATAGGCTTCCGTATACGAATACGTTGTGCGCCGCCGCTTGGCTCATTTTCCTTCACTTCCGATTCCGATTCCGATTCCAATTCCGATATTTAGTACATGCGTTTCCCTTTCCTCAATCTCAACCTGTCGATTGCCAATCGGCAGATTGCCAGCAGCACTTACTTCATATATCTACAACAGTACAATGAAACCCAAACCCATCCACGACAGCCCAACACTAAAAACAAAACTAGGCCTGTAAACGAACCGAACGCACACGAACGTAGTTATGTTCATGTTCGTTCATTTAATAAAAAAATGAACATAAACGAATACGAACATAAACGAACAAAATATTTTTTGTTCATGTTCGTTTATTAAGGAATATAACTTGTTCATGTTCGTTCATTTAATAAATAAACGAACATAAACAAACACGAACATAAACGAACACGAACATAAATGAACACGAACATAAACGTTGGAGACCCTACCTTCCATTGTTCTTTCATGAAAAATAGTCGACAATGCAAATCAACCAAATCTACAGTGATAAATAGCGTAAGAGCTGATTAGCAGTGATGAAATGTTTGAAGATATCAAATATTTCGATCGATCTTTTAAAGATATTAAATGATTCACACGACTTTAATTTAACGCTATAACATTTATCTTAGTGGTCCATGATTACATATGAACAATCATTTTCCACTACGTTATTCTAATAAATTCGCTAGCTAAAAGTTTTGTGACATCAATGTCAGACTTTAGTGAGGTTTGTTAATAATGGTCATTTCCGTTGGCAGAGTAGAAAATTTAACAGCATAAAGATTTCGAACGGTACAAATTGGACTACAAGGCAATAACATAGATCCGAAATCCCTTCGATGCTACATATTGTAACTAATATTATTGCTAAACCACCATTCAAAATTTTAACATACCTAAAGTCTACTCTACAACTAAAGGTCACACAAGAATTATAAAAACAAAAGTTCATTGTCAAAATGTATTTTCTACTTATTAAAGGGTTCTTCTTGGAAAACCCATTACTTTTGCTATTACACTCTTTTTCAGAAATTGCATAGAAACCTTTGTTTTGTTTTATGGCAAATTCTATATACTTTTCTCTTACTGATGCTCATATACTTCCGATTATTACATTTATCTTCCCATCTATTTCTAGAAAGAAGTATAATGTTTTCTTGAGTTTTAGATGTGAAGATACCCACAATAACTTTACATATCAACTATTAAGCCAAATAAAACAAAGAAAGAGATGAAAACAGACCTGTAAAACTTCATATTGCACTATAATATAACTTGTTTTGAAGCTTCCAGCGATCGTCTCTACTCTACAGTGAACACTAGGGTTTGGGAAAAAGGGGGAAAATGAATATAGGAACATAAATTGTTCATTAGAATATCAGATTAATTAATATTTTTAAGATACTTACAAATTGGTTACCAAAATTGATTTAAGAATATTGGGTTAAACATAAATGAATGAACATAAACGAACATAACCGAACGAACATAAACGAACATAACCGAACGAACATAACCGAACGTTCACGAACGTAAATGAACGAACGAGACCTATGTTCATGTTCGTTCATTTAATTAAACGAACACAAAATCTTGTTCATGTTCGTTCATTTAATAAATAAACGCACATAAACGAACTTCCAGCCGCACGGTTCATGAACGGTTCGTTGAACGTTCAGTTCATTTACATGCCTAAACAAAACTTAGATAGCCCACAATCCGGATCCGATTTATTTATCGATCAATCCGATTCAAGGATTGCAAAACCAAAGACGATACTCTCAATCTAATTTATTACATTCATAATCGTCAAGATTCAAACTCCTAACCTTTGTTTAAGGAATCTAATGTCTCGTCTTCCTAGATCAATTAGTTATTGATATCGATTATTGTTATTTAAATGTAAAAATAAAGTTGTAAATAATTATTAAACATATATTCGAAGATAATGAACAAAAATAATGCAGAAAAACCAAACCTTTTTATCATTGGATATAAATTACAACACAAAATGCGTTCCACGTTTCATCACACATCTACATGACTCTCGGATTCATGGAAAGAAAATTATGAAAATTGGTCCACCATTAATAAATTAAATCTTAAAAATAATTCCATTTTATATAAAATATATTTAAACATGAATAGATTTATAAATTTAAATGTACACAGAATATATATATATATATTAAGAGAAAATAACCTCAGTGATAAAAAATGCCTTATAATATACGATTTTAATCATTTTTTTTGGATTTGCCAAAATAACCAACTAAATCGCAATGCGATCGATAATTCGCAACGCGATCTCCGGTATCGCAAATCAGTTTCCAGATTCTCAACGCGAACTTCGACTATCGCATTGCGATTTACATATTCGCATTGCGATAGTCCAAGTTCGCGTTGCGATTTATTCTACGACCACGAGACGAGACGGCGGCGGTGGCGGCGCGCGAGAGTCCCCCTTGTTCTCTATCACTCAACAAGGAAGTGGGAAAGCCAAACCTTAAATACCATTCCCAATAGTGTTTCCAATACTATGTGAGATTGAGCATTACCAACACTTGTTCCCAATACTATGTGAGATTGAGCCTTAAATAGTGATATTATTTTTGAATGTTTTGCTTAAAATTACAATAATCGCGATTGATTGTAGATTGACATTTAATTATGACATATTTAATCGTATAATACTAATGCAATTGGTTGTTGATTCAGTTGTTTTAAGGTGCATGATTGTTAATTGTTTCCTGAATAATCACATTGTATTGGAAACAAGTGTTGGTAATGCTCAATCCCACATAGTATTGAAAACACTATTGAGAATGGTATTTAAGGCTTGGCTTTCCCACTTCCTTGTTGAGTGATAGAGAACAAGATAAGGTCAGATCTGTCCACAGAATTCACATTACACATGCAAGAATCATTTGTTTAGAAGCGCAAAATATCTTACCACCACAGTGCGAACAACACCTCCACTTGCACCATCACGAGCAATGGCAAGGGAAACTGCCTTAACCACTAATTGCTATTGAATTTCCATAAAACAATTCATAATAAAGTTAATGGTCAACCAACCAATAAGTATTTTTACAAAATATCCATGAACCAGTTAAAAGAATTAGAAAACCTTTGTCAAGTTTGATTAAAACAAAATGTACCTCAGCTTCATCCTTTGTCGTTCCTTCCTTCCATGCCTGATCAAAAAACCATACAAGTAACTGGAGCCAGATCCTGCACAAAGGTCAATCCAAATCATAACTATTTTTCAGCAGAAGTAGTGACCACTTACTAATGGCACCCATTGTTTTCTTAACCAAACTCCCAATATTTTAGGTTCATTATAGGAACTAGGTGATGTACAACTTTGAAAAACTAATAACTAGAGGGGAGAAAAAAAAGTTAATCTTATTTCATTGGTAATTTGTTAAGTAATTATGGAGAAGACATTGCATATATTACAACCGACTCCTCATCATAAGGGAACGAGTATATTTAGCCAAAAATTCTCAAGGTTATAATGACTGCATTGAACCTCCTCCAGCTCCAATTTCTCAGGCTGAACTAAGGAAAGAGTGAAAACCAGTCTTAGCAATATGTGGGTGAACCTTAGCCAAAAGAAAAAGGCCATACAAATGCCAACTATGCATATAATTGCATACATGTAATTTAATTTAATGAGGCTGTAAAATCAAAACAGGTAAACAGGCATCAAGCTGGACTCCCTAATGGAAGGAGAGGATGCTTAAGTTGAAAGATGAAAAGAATATAATACCTCCGATAGCAAAAGGCTGCTCAATCAGTGTTCCACCAGGAGGAACTCCATATATTTACCACCCTCATACTTATCCCATCCACCAACAATAAGGCCAGTCTCAAGCATGTTCTACTCAAAATATAATAAAAGTGGGTAAACCACATAGACATGAACAAAGGAAGCTGAAAAGTCAAATGCATAATGTTTTGAGAGAATATAGACCAATTTCCATCCTCAACAGAGTTTTAGAGACAATTCAATGTTGGCAGCTTTACTTTCAAAAAAAAAAAATTTACTAAGCTTTCTACTCTTTTCTTTCTTCTGTTTCTACCGTTTACTACTTTCTTCTCCTCTTTGGGCACCACAGCTGTTGTCTCTTTTCTTATACATATATTTTATATTTTTAATTATAAACGTGTTCCTCATATTACTCGTGTGAAAGCTCTTTCTATGCACCTCTAGCAACAAAGGACTCCTAATGCCTAGAGTGCTTGTCCCCTTGAGGTCTTGACTACATTGGCATCAAGTAATACATACAATCTGTATAATAGGGAGGGGATGTGTAAACATGCACTAAATTTACCATGCACACCTTTAAAAAAGGAGGACTAATAGGATGGGAAAAGGATGACAAACAAAAAAGTAGTCAAGTAAAATTTCTAAATCATAAGCTCAAACCTTGTTATTGTATGATAGTAACCTGATAAGGTTTGCAGTAACTTCGACAGTTGCAGGTTGCCCAAGATGAATCCTGTTTTATTCAATTATTCTTCTTTATTTTACCCTAAATATGTTTTACCCTAAACATTTAGAACCTTTCCTTTTTTTTCTTTAGATTTTTCTTATTTTCTTAGTTTTTACTCGAAATTGTTATTTGGGTATTGCTTGTTTGCATATACCGGGATAGGATCATGATGATTAAGGTTATTATAGAAGAGGAAGTAGTGAATGTACTTTCAGTGTACGCCCCACACGTTGGCCTAGGGGAGGGGGAGAAACGTTGCTTTTGGGATCAGTTAGATGATATACTTAGGAGCATTCCGGAGGACCAAAGAGTTTTCATAGGGGGAGACTTCAATGGCCATATAGGCAGTGCAACCGACGGGTATGACGGTGTTCATGGGGGTTTTGGTTATGGTAGCAGGAACGATGAGGGGCGTACGTTGCTTGATTTTGCTACTGCTCACGATTTGGTGATCACTAACTCATTCTTTAATAAGAGAGATGCGAACTTGATTACGTTTCATAGCGGGGGACATTGTACCCAAATCGACTACATCTTGATTAGAAATCGGGAACGATGGGCTTGCATTGACTGTAAGGTCTTCCCTGAAGAGGCATGTGCATCACAACACAAATTGT